ATGTTACAGCCTTATTCCTAAATAGATTTAATTTAATTTCATTTATTTCCTCGAAATTCTACACACAATACCCCATAATGACTATCTGAAAAAAGATTTTTTGAAATTGTTGCAAATTTATTAAAAATAAAAAACCTGAAAAATCACATGTACATAAGTATGCACAGCCTTACCTCAATACTTAGTTGATGCAGCTTTGGCAGCAATTACAGCCTTTACAATTACAGTCTTTTTGAATAGGATGCCACAAGCTTGGCACACTTATCTTTGGGAATTTTTACCCATTTCTCTGTGCAGCACCTCTCAAGCTCTATCAGGTTGGATGGGAAGCGACGGCGTGCAGCCATTTTCAGATCTCTCCAGAGATGTTCAATAGGATTTATGTCAGGGCTCTGCCTGGGCCCCTCAAGTATAATCAGAGAGTTGATGTGAAACCACTCCATTGATATTTTGGCGTAGTGCTTTGGGTCATTGTCCTGCTGGAAGATGAACCGTCGCCCATGTTTGAGGTCAAGAGCACTCTGAAGCAGGTTTTTAGTCAGGATGTCTTCCTGCAGGGACACTGGCCTTCCAGGACCGAGATTGGTGACCCCTGCTGTAGACCATTTTTAAAAGTCACATTTTTGCAGTTTACATGAAGATGGTATCAATGCCGCTTTTAAAAGCTTCTAATTTAAAATCTGCATTTTTTTAGGCCCTCAAAACATAAAAGAGTTGCTAGATTTGTTCAGTACTATGAAACAAGATTTAGTATTTTTTCCCTTAAGTAAATTAACAAGAATATGAAGAATAATTTATTAAGACTATCATGCTTAACTCAGTAATTTACATTTTTCCAGAATGAATCGTCTTTTTTGAACGATTCTCTTGAATACAGAATTGAAAGGCTCAAAAAAAACAACAAACAGTTAATAAACTACTATAATTTCTTTCATTTTTAATTTTGTACACTGAAAAAAAAGTCCAAATATGAATCCTTGAATTTTACCGGTGAATTAAGTAGACTAAATTGTCCGTAGTGTATGAGTGTGTGTGTGTGTGTGTGTGTGTGTGTGTGTGTGTGTGTGTGTGTGTGTGTGTGTGTGTGTGTGTGTGTGTGTGTGAATGTGTGTGTGGATGTTTCCCAGTGATGGATTGCAGCTGGAAGGGCATCCGCTGCGTAAAAACTTGCTGGATAAGTTGGCGGTTTATTCCGCTGTGGCGACCACGGATTAATAAAAGGACTAAGCCGACAAGAAAATGAATGAATGAATGCTTGAATTTACAAAATTAAGTTGTTGTAAGCTATTTATTTGGACTGAATTTAAACAAACAAACAAACAAACAAACAAGCTGAACATTACTAAATTAACTTTTTAAAATTTAACTCAAATAAATTGTTTGCAACAATTTTGCAGTAATGTTTTAATTTACGTATGGTTAGCATTTTTCAAACAGAGTAAGGAACAATTAACCATCAATTATTATTTTATTACTTATGAACCCATCTAAAGACATCGTTCACATGATGATGTAGTTTAAGTCATTATCGGTCCTTCTCTGATGACGTTGGCTTGACAGCTTAAGCCAAAATATTCTTCATTTAATTGATTTTAATTAAATTATTTAAGGAGATATGGGTTGAATAAGACAAAGCTCTATATGTAATTTACATATATGGTTGACATTTTCTGCTGTGGGTCAGTAATTTCTTGCACTCTGTGGCATGTTCCTGTGCGCTTTTAGCATAGCGGCTTACATGCTTATATCAGAGCCTAATGAACAGATTAGAGAGGATGCTGTGGGCCAATTAAAAGCAATGAGGGTGTTTTGCTGACGTGGCAGTGTAGCGAGGTAATTAACACCACTGCCCTCTGACGTGACCCATGAGAAAAACCCTGACACACACACACGCACACCTCTAGAATGCTGTCTAAGGGGAAATGCATTAGACACACCATTCACCTTAGCGTGGCATCACTCGCATATGCTGAAATTGTTGCAGCACAAGAATGCATACAGAAACGATAGAAAACCTCTCCCTTTCTATTGTTTGCAAGAGTTTGTAGTTTTAGATTGTATGTCATGCTTATCAGTGACGTGCAACAAAGTTTTCTTCCAACTCAGCTCAAGATTTATGTTGTAAAAGCTTTAAAAAGCTGCAGATAAACTGTAGTAAATCAGATCACATCAGCAAAATCTTGTCATGCCCGCTATTTGTTGCTGACAAAACAACAGAACTTGGGTGTTGCCTCAGAGCAGCGCTACAGTGTTAGGAAATGCACTTTGTTTTGTGCTTTAGCCTGTCACTGTATGCAATCTATGTCATCATTGGATTTAAAATACTTGCAATAATATAATAATTCAATAAAAAATAAAAATAATAAAATAAATAAATAAATAAATAAATAAATAAATAAATAAATAAATAAATAAATAAATAAATAAATTTGGATTGTTTGGATCCATTATATATATAAACAGGAATTGGAGGAAAAAATAAACAGGGGGCTAATAATTCAGGGGTGTTACTAATTCTAATTTCAACTATAATTATCAAACGGACAATAAAATGTCAAAAATGTCACTTTAGACAATTCTTTGTTTTTTAACAAGGTACATTTTCTTTGGGGCCAAAACAAGTTAAATCCATCAGTGCTTTTTATGCAAAAACCTCTGAATCCACCCATTGAAACAAGACAGTGTATTTAGTTAAATAACACTAAAGATGCCATTAGAAATTATTTTACAGAACATAAAACACATACACAAACCACCTGAAATTTAAAATATATAAATCTGTCAACCAGGGAAAAAGCAGAAGGAAAATGAATGAATGAAATCTGTCAAGTAAGTGCATAATCAATAACTTCAAAATTTACATAATAAAATCTTAACAATCTATGGTCATTTCTTATATTTTAGAATTAGATTTAATGTAAGTAGAACAATGCAAACATTACAAACATTGTAAAATAGGCTTGTTAGATTCAAATAATGTAGTGTAAAACATTATAAAGCAATATCTGTGCATTGTTTATCAATATAAAAAGCTTATCAGATGTATAGGTAATATAAAGTAATGCAAATCATGTATAGTTTTTTTATATTTGTTTTATCTTTTAATAGCTTAAATTAGCAAATAAAACACAAGGTAGGCTTACTGGGCAAAAAGGGGGTGCCTCTCAAACCATTTTAGAAGATGTCATTCATTCATTCTCACCATACTTAAGGTCTTGGTCTCTTGTTTATCCTCATAGCATCCATGTGGAATAGAAGAACGGCATTTTAATTCATCTTTCGTGAAATGCAGTTGCCGTTTAATGTATAGCAAATCAGACTCAAAGTAGTGTCACTGCTCAAAAAATCGTTATGAATCCATGTTACACTTTCGACTGTACATTGTGTTTTCTTTTTCTTATAATGCACAAAGTTTTGAGGTAAGGAACGTTTTCATTTGCCATTCACTGACAGTCAGACAGGCTCATCCAGTTCATCAAACTGCGTCTTTTAAAATCAAAATTGAAAGCGGAATATGTCTCCTCTTACAAGCTGGCATGTCAGTGAGCTGCTACATTAAAAACATATGATTCGATTCAGGCCATCTGATTGGTTCTCTGGATATAGCGGCTTTTGCTGTCAAAGGCAAGTGGTGTTTAGCGGCTAAAATCTGCTTGCTCATTTTATATTCAGTGAAATAATGACCAACCTGATGGCTAAGTCATTATTTTAAATAAATGGTTATGTTTTCTATATTTTACTCAAATTTATTATTATTTAAATTATTATTATTATTATTATTAGCATTAGTATTATTATAGTATTACTATTTATTAATACAAATATAAAAACATAGTAACAAAAATAAATAACGATTATGATTCTTCTTCTTCTTCTTCTTCTTATTATTATTATTATTATTGTTTATTTCCCAGAGATGAGTTGCGGCTGAAAGGGCATCCGCTGCGGATAAGTTTGCTGGATAAGTTGGCGGTTCATTCCGCTGTGGCGACCCCTGATTAATAAGGGGACTAAATCGACAAGAAAATGAATGAATTATTATTATTTATTAATACAAATATAATATTGTATTTATAATAATTATTAACTATAATTATTTTATATATTTTTTATTTATTATTACAAATATTATAGTATAATAATACGAATTAATAACTATTATTATTTTATATTATTATTACTATTATTATTTTATTTTATTTTTCTACTCAATATTGGTTTAAAACCTAATATTGTATCCGCTGATATTAATATTATTTTATTATATTTTTTTTGTAGACAGCTGTATTTGTTCAAAAAAAACACTGCAAAAATTGACCTTTTTTCCTGAAAATCATTTCAGTGTAAAACTCTTTGTCTTTTTTGATTAATCAATGCATTGTTGCTGAATAAAAGTCTTGCTAAAATTGACTAAATGTACTTTTCAGTAAGTGTGTGCATGTCTGAGAAGAGGATGTAATGTAATGTAATACTATACCGCTAAAAAAAACGTTTATTCATGTGATGCAAGCGAATAAAACTAAAATGCCACCCTCTCTCACACAGGTAATTTGACAGTCAGTTCATGGTTATGAAATGCTGCCGTCCTACTGAAACACACAGGTAAGTAAACACCAGCCTCCCACACCAAAGACACTCTATTAAGTGCATGATAAGAGAACAGGACTTTATATTACTTCCCAACCACCTAATCAAGGCCTGAGGGCAACATAAAAGCACTTTAAGTCCCCTAGTCTGCAATTTTGTTCGCAGAGAATCCGTATCCTAAAATAAATTTCTCTGAGAGCGCTACTTAAGATCTCCAAGGGGGCTGCTGGCATTTGTCTTAGAGTTAAATTGCTTATTATGTACATACTGTAGACTAATTCCATTGCGAACTCAATATTGGGTGAGCAGATTTAACAGCGGCGCTCGGCAAGGAGGCGTTGCTTTTCTCTGAACTCCTCTGAGTTCTGCTCACCATGGAGACCGACCACTTATTCCAGCTCACGGGTGTCAAATCGCACGTTAATCCCCGAATCCGCGAGCTGCAAATTGCAGGGTAACACAGGAGAAGCCATTTGGTCCTTTCATTGTTTTCAGAAAGAGGCAAAGACCGTGTTTATCAGAGATGCTGGATGGAATCTGATCATTCCTCGCTTCTTCTCCCACTTTTTACAGCCCAGAGTCCAGGTCTCTGTTTCTCCCCCACATTTATTTGGCTCTAGAATCTCTGGAAAGGTAAGCCCAGTAATTTGCTTCATCCCTGCTGCAATATTGACTTGAGGTTTTTTTCAATCGCGTGGTCGTAGATCACAATTACAGCGAATCGTGTGAAGCCACCCTCAGCTATCAGAGTTCACTGCGTGGGATTTGGTTAAAAGACCACGTTTCTTGTTCTCACTTGTAGGCCTCTTGCTGGCCCTTTCATCATATGCCTAGTTTACACCTAGTATTAAAGGGATTCATCACTCAGAATTCAAAATGTACTGTTAATTTGCTCACCCTCAAGCAAGACAAGATGTAGGTGAACTTCTTTGTTTCAAATAGAACATTAAGACTTTATTTAATTTTTTTTTTTAGCTAAAACTGTGGTCCTAAAATTATTATTAGCGTCACAGCAAGAAGGTCACTGGTTCGAGCCTCGGCTGAGTCAGTTGGCATTTCAGAGTGGAGTTTGCATGTTCTCCCCGTGTTCGCGTGGGATTCCTCAAGGTGCTCCGGTTTCCCCCACAAGTCCGAAGACATGCGATACAAGTGAATTGGGTAAGCTGAGTTGTCTGTAGTGTATGAGTGTGAATGGGTGTGTATGGATGTTTCCCAGTGATGGGTTGCGGCTGGAAGGGCATCCATTGACAAAAACGTGCTAGATAAGTTGGCGGTTCATTCTCCTGTGGCGACCCCAGATTAATAAAGGGACTAAGCCGAAAATAAAATGAATCAATGAATGTTGAGAGTCAAAATACAAATATACAGGCAAAATAAAATAAATAGCCATGGCATCTTATGATAAGTCAATGTATTATTTCAAGAGTTCACACATAGGTCTCGAGAGCTCCCCATGGTAAAGGAGGAAAGGGGGAGATGGGGTGGATGGGGGGATTTCGTCAAAAACAAAGATAAGGAAGGCAGGATGAATGGGATAATAAGAGTTGAATAAGGATAAATAAGCTCCAATTCATAAGAGCTTAATGTATCCCCAGTAGCCACAGATAATAATTGTATTCTGCCTATATGGTATTATGCTATTACATATGCCTGTTTGGCATATTTTTGGCTCGTAAATTTCCAGCAACTGTTTATTTGCATCTTATGAATCTCCAAATGTCACTGTTTCAGTGTTTAACATTCTCCTAAAGTCACCTATATCTTGACTGAGGGTAATTCAATTATTTATTTTTTCACTTTAAGATGCATTTTTGTTTATTAAAGGGATAGTTCACCTAAAAATGAACATTTATTCACCCTCAAGTGGTTCCAAACCTTAATAAGTTTTCTTCTGTTGAACACTAAAGAACATATGTTGGAGAACCCTGAAACCTGTAACCACTGACATCCATAGAGGGAAAAACAAATACTATGAAAGAAAATGATAACTGGATTCCAGCTCCAAATATCTTCTTTTGTGTTCAACAGAAGAAAGAAACTCATAAAGGTTTGGAACATGTAAGGTTTGGACAACATTTTCATTTTTAGGTGTAGAATTCTTTTTAATACCAAGACCATAGAGAAGAGGGTTGAAAGTGTGTTTGTCTGGTGTATTTGCATGGACAAGATGCACGTGAATGTGTGCAAAGTCAATAGCTTGTCAAACAAGGGAAGTCAAGTCTGCCCTAAACGCACCAGTGGCTCCATGTGCTCCTTTCTGCAGGCACTCCATGCTTCTTTGTCAATTTAGCCAATTACATTTCCATTATTTTTGCTTTTCATTCTCATTAATAAAATTGGCCAAGATTAATGAAGAAAATACCCAAAGTGTAAATTATCCATGACGAGCTTTTTAGGTACTTGCACAAAATCTAGTTTGGCTGATTGTATTTTTTTCATCCAGGGAAATACTTACTGCATGCATTTCAGAAGAGCAGATAAAAGCACGTGCGGATGAGAGGGAACAAGTCTGAACACAGGGAGAGATCGAAAGTGTTTTATAAGAATGTCACTGTGATGTTGTGAGCAGGAGGTTAGCGAGTCTGATCAGTGATTCAGCACGTATTACTCCTATTAACCACGGAGGGAAAGACAAAAACACATTTCATTTCACCTTCTCGGTAACCTCTGCGCATAATAAAGTGTTTAACGGACCCGCTTCTTGACTAAATTGAGGTGTTTGGAGCTGATGAGACCAGATCGCTCGGGTCAGTTTTTGAGTTTTGCTTCAAAAAGACCAATTTTTATTTTGAACATTTTCGTCCTTGGAAATTTAGTGCAGTTATTATTTTTATTTATTTATTTTCTTTGGACGATGGAACATGAAAGATATCATGGAAATAGGTGTCTTGAGAACTTACACTTGTCTTTATGGCAGCTTTAGGATCCATAAATGGTTAAAAGGGGGGTGAGTTTGATATCTTGTATTGATCAATTCCTCCTTTAAAACTGCTTGTACAGTATAAATGTGTCTCTACAGAATTCATATAAATTGGAGTGCTATACTAGTCACGTGTGCTTTGATGGTCTCTTATACATCTGTTTGCTGTTGACCACGTATTAAAGTTTATTTATAAGTGATAGTTCAAGTGTGGAAATATGTAAAAATACATGTGACTGCTTTCTCAACCACGATGTTCCTGGAGGACCATCAGCACTGCATGTTTTGGATGTTTCCTATGACTGTCACATTCATTACAGGTCTTTCAGTCTCTGCTAATGAGCTGATAATCTGAATCAGGTGTGTTCAGTAAAGGAGACATAAATGTGCAGAACTGGTGATCCTCCAGGATCGTGGTTGAGAAACACTTTTCTAGACCATTAAATCAGTCTTAATAGTTAATAGATCTATGCTTTCCATTGATATGGTTGGCTAGGAAAGGGCAATATTTCACACTCTGGAACTTTAGGGGGCAATAATAATAATAAATAGTGAAAATGGTTTTTAAAATGGTCCAAATTGAATTCTTAGAAATGCATGCTAATACCAATCAAAATTAAATGTTTATGTTTTCAGTAGGAAATTTACTAAATGTCTTAATAGACTATGATTTGGCGATTCATTCCACTGTGTCGACCCTAGATTAATAAAGGAAATTAATGAATGACTATCCTTACTTAAAATTTGAATGATTTTTGTCATAAAAGAAAAAAAAAAGACTTGTACAATGTATTGTTGACTGTTCCTACAGATATTCCCATGCAACTTAAGACACATATACGAAAAAGCCTATATATAAAAGCTTTATATATATATATATATATATATATATATATATATATATATATATATATATATATATATATATATATATATTAGGGCTGTCAAAATTAGCGTGTTAACACGTGCGATAAATTTGAAATATTTAACGCATTAAAAGAAAATTAAGCAATTGACGCAGTTGCAGTTTTTTTATTTCCTGTTGTGGCCGACGTGTTTAAAGTGCAAAGAAATATGGATAAGACCAAGGAAGCACTTTTAGAAGGAAAGTTTCAGTGTAAAAGTTCGCATCACAAGGCTATCCAGCGTTTCCTCCAGAGTTTCATCTAATTTCGAGTTTCATTTTTAATCTTTAGACTTTAACTGCAGTTGTTCACTTTTATTGAGCAACATATTGTTCATGCCCTGTGACAATTATTGGATGAAAATATGAAGTAAGGCCTGCTGGAAAGAGTGCTGTTTTAATGGAATTTGATACTGCATGGCAAACAGAAAGAAAAACCTCTGCATTTTGGGACTCGGGTGGTCCTTTAAGGTAATCAAAAATTGCTGCTTACATAGACTCTTAATCAGAGTATTAAAACATAGTAAAACATATGCTAGACATATAGTTGGCGGTTCAATACCCTGTGGCGACCTCTTACAAATAACGGACTAAGCAGAAGGAAAAGCAGCAGATTTTCACAAGCAACTGAGAGTAAACCTCTTAATGTCATTTTATATTTTATGTTATGTTTATGTTATATCCAGGTGTAACATTATTAATGTCTATATATATATATATATATATATATATATATATATATATATATATCCTGGTGGGATTGAACCAGCAATTCTTTGCATGAGAGTCGGTTGCTTTAACAAAATAAGAGGTAAAAAAAATAATAAATCATACACGTTTTTGTAAGAACTGTGACCAAAAGTTACAATGCATCCGGAAAGTATTCATAGCGCTTTCAGTAAATTTAATTTTATATTTTATGTTTTATCCTTAAATCCAGTATCTATCTATCTATCTATCTATCTATCTATCTATCTATCTATCTATCTATCTATCTATCTATCTATCTATCTATCTATCTGTCTGTCTGTCTGTCTGTCTGTCTGTCTGTCTGTCTGTCTGTCTGTCTGTCTGTCTGTCTGTCTGTCTGTCTGTCTGTCTGTCTGTCTGTCTGTCTACCTGTCTGTCTGTCTGTCTGTCTGTCTGTCTGTCTGTCTGTCTGTCTGTCTGTCTATCTATCTATCTAAATAAGAAAAAAAATGTACCATGAAACATTTTTTACTTTCAGGTCAGACATTTTTGTGTGGCAAAGGACCGAAAAAATTGTGGTTAAGGTGACCAAAATGGTTGAAATTACAGCAGAATGGGAGAAATGGCCCCTTTAACTTTGGAAATAAAATCAAAACCATGTTTTTCACTTTCTCTGTAACCTCCACACATAATGCGGTCTTTAAAAAACTCTTCTCTCTGGCAAATTGAGGTTTATGAAACAGATGCGACCAGATCAGTGTGGTCAGTTTGTGCCGGGCTCCAATTTGTATTTTCAACCATTTCTGATGCAGTCGCTCTGTCGAAAAAAAAAAAAAAAAATCGACTCTCACAGCAGAGGGTGGAAGCCAGTTTAATCAATAATTTACATAGCTGGTAAATTGGAAATAACCTGGGTGAACTACACAAAACATGTTCCCCTTGTGTTTCGAAACTTTCCTGAAGACATTGTTTATTTTTAGACGCCTTCCCCGTTGACTCCCAGATGAAAACATCTACCCTTCTGAGGGTTAAAGCTAATGAGGACCACCTTCCTCCGTGTTTCTGCGAGACAGTGTTATACAGTAAGTGATGTGTGAATGTATGTTTGCTGATGTGTTA